AGATGAGTGAGGTGATGGAGGGAAGGGGGAGCAGGAATTCAGCTCACAATTTGGCTCTGTGCCCACTCACTCACTCACTCGAAAAACACATATCTTTCTCCCTCCCCCCACCCTCTGCCCTCTCTGCTCTGCCGGAGAAGACTCAAGCTAAGGAGAGCTTTTACCCGCCGCTTCGATGCTTTTTCTACTCTAATAAACTGATGCCACGGCTATAGAGGAGCCTGTAGGGTATTGGTTAGAGCACTCGCCTCGCAAGCGAGAGGACCCGGGTTCGATTCCCGGACAGGGCAATACCTTAGGCAAGTTTCCTTTCTCCACACGCCTCTGTTTACCTAGCAGTAAGTAAGAGCCTGGTTGTTAATCGATTGGCGGATCACTTTCTGGGGGTAATAATCCCTTAAAAAGAGAAGCGAAATAAAAATAATAATAATTATTTTGGTCACTTCTGTTCGTGGGACACTGCTTGCGCAATTGGCTGCTGGGTTTCACTCACAAAATACACAGCCAATCCATTTGACAGTATATTCTGTGACAAGGAGCTATATCAAATGCAAGGATTGTTATCATTACAGCGTAAAGCGAACATGGTCCTCGAGAGCCCTGACACCACAGTGCCTGTCTTCTGCTAAACTACTCATTATTACACCACTTCCTGCAGTTTTGTTTCGGTTAGCCTGTCACAGGACACTCATTCCATCCGCAACCTAAAAAAAAGGAAGAAACTGCAATGTGTTGGCATGTAACCTGCCCAAAACCTACTGTCAGATAATTTATTAGTTAAAACGGGGAGGAGGAGGGGAGGTGGGGGCGGAATCCAGCTTAACGAACATCTGTGGAGTCCTGTAGTTAAGCGGTTAGAGCACTCGCCTCACAAGCGAGAGACCTGGGTTAAATTTCCGGCAGGGCAGAAGTTTCCTTACTCCACACTCCTTCTGTTTACCTCGCAGTAAGTAGGAACCCAGTTGTTCGTCGATTGGCGGATCGCTTTTCCAGGGGTAATAATTCCTTCAAAAAAATAACAATAATAATAAATTGTCACTTCAGTCCACGACTGTTTGTGGGACACTGCTGTGCGCAATTGGCTGCTACGTTTCGCCCACAAACTATATGGTCAATTCACTTTACAACATATTCTGTGAAGCGCTTTGAGATGTCTCGAAGATGTCTCAAAGACTCGTGGTGCCGAAGGCATTTTTTAAACCTGATTGGGTTACAGATATACCACAGGTGACAAAAGTATTTTGTGCATTTCTCTAAATTACAGCATGGCACGTTTCAAGAATCCCTGCATTTATTTGATACAGCGCTTTATCCTGTCGTTAAGACGTCTCAAAGCGCTTCACAGGATATATTGTAGAGTGGAGTGACTGTGTATTTTGTGGGCGAAATACACCATGGGTCCGGTCCACATAATAATATACCTGGGTCTATATAATTTGATTGGCTGATGAGCATGTGGGCAGACTCCTGATCTCTGGAACTCCCTTCCTCTTTGACCATGCCTTCGGCCACTCTCCCACCCCCACCCACCTCTAGCCTATCCTCCACCCCTCTTGCACCAGCTCGGATGCGAATCCTTGATTGTCCAGCGCCTTGGTGGGATATCCTTCTAACGTGAAATACACTATACAAATGTAATTTGTTGTCGGTGGTGGTGTTGTTGTTGTTGCATGTAAACCCATATCTTACCATTAACATTGCATAGCCCCAATGCGCTAACGTCTCAGCCACTCTTTGCAAGAACAGTTACGCTGCTGTTTGGCCAAAGAGTGAAATCCTTCCCATCTCAGAGCGATGGATCTTATCACAAACTCCAGTTCTGCTGGATATTAATAATACAGCATTTGCATTTTAATAATTGAACAGATAAATGTGACAAAAATGGGAGGTTTGGTCCATTCAAAATAGGTATTGTGTATAGCAGTCGCCTGTCACTGAACTAAGTTGTTTTCTATTATTATCGATGACTATTTTACAGTCAGGAAGTTCGTTGATGGCGAGTGACGGGTAATATTGAAAGACCACNAAAAAAAGGACAAATTCAGGGGAAGACCTAATTAAAAAAAAATTAAAATAAAAAATGACGAGTAAAAAAATTACGCTCTTTTCCGAAATTCTCTTATTTTAGCCTTCAGGACTTTGAGCTTACACAGTCTAAGCTGACGCTCCAGAGCAGTGCTGGGGGTGCACTGTGTTGTCGGCGGTGCTGTGGATGAGATTCTAAACTGAGCTCCCCGTCTGCTTGTTCAGGTGGATGTTAAGAATCCCGCGGCGGTATTTGAAAAGAGAAGCGAGTTTCTCCTGGCGTACTGTTCGAAATCTCCAAACTCCCTCCCGTCCTGTCCCCGATAAATATTGTCCATTCACTTCACGGCTATTTATGGGACATTGCCGTGCGCAAATTGGCTACTGCGTTCGACCACAAGTTTGGGTTTGGAGACGCTTAAGCACGTGAGTGGGTTTCTGTCTGTGTCAGACACCCACCCGGTTTCTCGGAAAATAAAGGCACACGGAATGCAGGGGGAGAAAACTGTAATGCAGTGAATGTGTACACCGTAATGTGAATGCGTAATAATAAAAATAATAATCCTTGCATTTGATATAGCGCCTGATCACGTCTTCGAGACGTCTCAACGCGCTTCACAGGATACACCGTAAAGTGAACTGATTGTATATTTTCTGGGCGAAACGTGTACACCGTCATGGGAATGTGTACAGTTTAACGTAGTGTACCACAGGCTCTGGGAAGTTTCTTTGATGCTCCAGCGCTGGACAGAGGGGGCAGAGGGAGTTTAATTTTGCTCCTGTTCTGTGAAAATACACAAGCCCGACTTTTCAGCATCCCTTGGTGCTCGTACATATTTTCACCATTCAGGTTTTTTCTCCTCCTCTCTGGGAGTGCTTGACGTTAACCTCAGACTCCACTGACATTCTTCACCTTGAGAGACACAAAGCGCCTGGGAATTCAGGTGCGGAGGTCCCAGCAGCCTATAACCTCGATCTTTGTCTCTTCCCACATTCACCAGTATTCTCTGCAATGCACTGGCTTGGGCTTTATTGTTTTGTACAATGTGCTCAAAGCATAGGTTAATGTCCCAGTGAATGTTCAGGGGCTAATTAGCAACTACATTGTTGGATGTGCCGTCCTTCGAATGAGACGTTAAACCAAGATCCTCGTCTGCTTGTCCAGGTGGACGTTAAAGATCGCATGGCTCCATTCGCAAAGGGAATGGAGATTCTCTCTCCCCGTGTCCTGGCAATTCCACCCCCCCCCCCCTCCCCCCACCAAGTCTTTCATTTCACGGCTGTTTGTTTGCCTACAGAATACAAAGTCACTACACTTCACAGCAATTAGAAAAGTGCTTGCATCATTCTGACCCTATCATAATAATAATAATCCTTGTATTTGATATAGCGCCTTATCATATCTTTGAGACGCGTCAAAGCGCTTCACAGAATACATTGTAAAGTGCAGTGACTGTATATTTTGTGGGTGAAACCTGGCTGTTAATTACCACGGCTCTAGAGATGAAATTGTGAGTTTGGGTTCATGAACCCACCAACGCTTCGCTGCTCTGGCTTTTGTCAGTGAATGTTGATGGACTAATTTTAAGACAAAGAGGGGAAGCACACCAGAAAACTGGGCCAAGTAGCATCTTACTGGGTCCTATATTTCTGTGGATCCTTGCAGCCATTTCTCTTGTCATTTTTTTCAGGAGTTCTGTCTACAGCGAATGCCATCACTTCTGTTATCATGTATTTATCTCAGCAACACAGAGCCCTTATTTACAGTGCATGCTTTTATCTTATTAACTATAAATCTGGAATCTGGTTGTCCAAGAAATAAATCTCTTCCCACTTGCAATCTTGGGAGAGAAAGAGCGAGTGAATAAGAGACAGAGAGAGAGAGAGGAGAGAGAGACAGCACCACCAGTCAGTGTATTAATGCCTCGCTTTGTTTACACACATCTATAACGGCACGGCTTAACAAAAAAAACTTTCTCGATGTTACAAAAGGCACAAACCCAAAAGAGAATTGAAAGCGCTTTCAAGGTAATGAGCTCTTGATTTAATTAGCAGTGCTAATTGCAAAGTACTCGTCATGGTAGCTTCCTCGCTCAAAATCACAAGGCAGAGGTCTTGGCAACATTCCCACTGGTGTACTGCGCTCGCTTCAGAACCAAAGCTGCCTTGTGTTCCTGCTCGCTGTGGCTCCGAGCAGCCTCAATGGACCCTCTCACGCATCGCGCTGGACTCCAGCTTAAAGCTATAGTGGCCTCAGTCCTTGCCAGTGATTGTCTCGCTCCCAGAGAAACAAACACAAACATTAACCAGAAACTGAAAACCACCGCAAATTGTCTTAATAGCTCCCCACTTGTTAACAAATTCAACAGTAGGCCAACCTTAAACCACTCCGCCTCCATCTACGCCAGCGACACAGCTTCCAGCCCGTCGTGAGTCACGCAGAAAGTGAGGTCGTCGGTGACCTGACGAGCTACAAATTGGCCATTTTGTTTTTTGATGCACGCGGGAAGCCAACTTTGACTCAGGATGTCCGAAACCCTACACTAATCTAGACCCGGGTGAAATTTCCTTCCCTAAAAAGAAAGTTGTGCAAGAGAGAGAGAGAGAGAGAGAGCACAATTTCCACAGACCACCCACTTTATAATAGGGGTTCTATTGTACTTGGGAAGACACCTCTTGAAGCACGGTACGGGGTGGGGGGAGTGGAAGCAGGGAAATTGGACTAATCTAAAAGATCTAATCTAATAAAGTGATGGGGTGGGTTGAACAGACTGAATGGTATCCTCCTGTTCCTTTGTGAAGACCCACTTTCCTCCCCTCTTGGAAGAATTTACTTTTACATGGAATCTTGTGCTTGCAATCGGTTCTCACACTGATCCCTTTGTTTCTCCCTCCCCCACCCCCCACCCCTCCTCTCTCCCCCTCTCTCTCCCTCCCCCTCTCTCTTGCCTCCCTCCCCCTTCGCTCCCCCTCAGATGACTCGTCTTCAGAGTGTTGCAGTGGAAACGGCTCCTCCGCCCTGAACCCGCCAGCCATTGGTGGCAGCCAAGGCAAGAACGTGTCTCCGGACATGAATGGGAACAGCTCGACCGGCCTGGACTACAGCGGCAGCTCCGAGGACCAGCCGGTCAACCTCAGTGAGAGGCTGCAGCCCGGACACGTCACACCGGCCTTTCAAGCGGATAACGGCAGCACGGATGGGCAGCGAAACCGGGTCAAATACACTGGAAAAACAGCACCTGACGTCCGACTGGACCGAGAGGGAGGGATTACGGGTGTAAGGTACAGCACGTGCCTACAACCCCATTTTAGCTCAATCCTGCCAAGCGTTTCGTCCACAAAATACACAGTCACTACACTTTACGGTATATTCTGTGAAGCACTTTGAGACGTCTCGAAGACGTGATAAAGTGCTGTATCAAATGCAAGGATTGTTATCATTATTCTCATCTACATCAGCAGGTTGGTTTAAGAGGAGAGACGCTGCTATCGGCCCCGTAAACTAACACAATCATAATAAATAATAATCTTTATGATTGATACAGGACAACAACAACAAGATTCCATTTATAGAGCGCCTTTCACATCGGGAGGACGTCTCAAGGCGCTGTACAGTTGGGTCAGGACCCGAGCATTGGGGGGAAATGGTCAGGGTGAGGGGAGGGAAGGGAGGGAGAGAGGAGGGGATAGAGAGTCGAGAGGGGAGCTGAAGGCACGGTCAAAGAGGACCTCATCACTTTGTCGAGACATCTCACAAAGTTTTCACTGAGTATACTGTAAATTGCGGTATGTGTGTGTGTGTTTTGGTGAGTGAACACGACAGACAATTTTGCACACAGCAGCGTCCCCACACAAACAGCCATGTAACGGGCCAGGTGGGGTGGGGGTGGGGGAAGGGGAGATTTGTGGGGGGTGGGCCTCGACTTTGGAAGATATGTCACAAACCCGGAGCGTACAGTCAGTGCTTAAGGAAATCCTAGCACCAAATATTAATCCTCTGAGTGCACAGAATCGAGAGCAGATTTAAAAAGATTAAGAATGGTCCCATTTAACCTATTTGGTTGGCCTTTGCCATTTGGACATTGGTAGTTGTCGCTGTGGAAAGGAGCAGCTACACACCAGCAGTTTCTAATCAGGGCACAGATTCATACGTTCACAATCTCCACATTTTCGATCAACGTCTCTAATGTTTAACATCTCGAAAGCACTTGTCATGTAATGACTTCCTAGTAAAGTGACCGTGGGTCTGATGGTGAACTAGGCAGATAGTCTATGCACAGCAATAATAATAATAATAATAATAATCCTTGCGTTTGATATAGCGCTTTTCACGTCTTTGAGACGTCTCAAAACTCTTCACAGAATATACTGTAAAGTGGATTGACTGTATAATTTATGGGCAGCCAATTGCGCACAGCAGCGTCCGATGAACAGTCGTGGATGAGTGACCAAATTATTATCATTTTTTTTGAGGGATTATTATTAGGCGTATTGGAGTAAGGAAACTTGCCCAAGGTTTCACCCTGCCAGGAATCGAACCCACGTCTCTCGCTTCCAAGGCGAGTGCTCTAACCACTGAGCTACAGGACTCCACAATGTACCCCCCCCCCCACCCCCCCCCTCACACACACACACACACACAGCCGCAAAGCCGTGGGTGGAAGGGCATTGCCAGCCACGATACCAGGAGCCAGGAGGGAAAAACTCACTTCACTTTTTTCGATCCTTAACGTCCACCTGAACAGGCACAGACAGGACCTCGGTTTAACGTCTCATCTGAAGGCCTGGGTCTGCCCCCAGCATCGCATTGGAATGTCAGTCTAAATTATACCAGTTCACTGTCCTGAAAGGGGGAGGGAACTGGAGAAAGGTGACAGAGAAAGCCAGCAAGGAAATCAAAAGGGGGGGCGATTTAATAGCCGAGTGGCGTGTGCTTGTTTTACACTCGGTGTTGTGAGCAGGAGTGAGCGCACACAGTACATTGTGACTGCCCTGAGAATCCAGAGCGCAGTGTATTACTCTTGCGCCACACCTCGTAAAGCACCCCTTATAATGGGTATTAAATAACAACATGCTTAATATCCTGCGCGCAACTCCTTCACGGATGCACACCAGAGCTCCCCGATTAAATCTACATGAACTGTCCTCCATCTCCCATTGGCGTGTTCACCCAGCCTGACACATCGCAGGTTGCTAGTGAATATTCCTGTGGGTCAGGGCATGGCTCCTAGCAAATGAAAGTGCACGACAGGAAAGTCCGCGACTTCACTTTTTGGAAGTGAAAATCCCCCCCAAAAAAAACACAAGAAAATTAACTCTCAATTACTCAATTGCCCGACTCCAGCTGTCTCTATCGTTTGATTCCCATTCCTGACTCCGTGCTTTAGTTCTTCCCTCCCTCCGCAGGCTCAGTTGCTCGTACTCTCGCCTCTGGCTTGCAAGGTTTTGGGGTTCGGGCCCCCACCTCGGGACTTTGATTCCCCAAATATCCAGGCTGACGCTCCCAATTCTATCTGGGAGATTGTCGGCCAAGACACCGGGAGAGAAATTCCCTTCTTTCTCTGCTGGAATAGCACCATGAGATCTATAACGTCCAACTGAACAGTTGTTTCAATGAAAAACCAATAGCCCAGGCCGTGTTTGCTCCTGGCAGTGTTCACACGACAGTAGTGGGGGAGCAGAGTGGGTATGGAGAGTAGTTAAGGTATTAATGTGGAGCCCTCTGCAGTAATGAGACCCGGGTGGGGGGGAGGTTGGGTAGTGCATATTGCGCAACAACAAAAACAAATTACACTTGTACAGCACCTTTCATGTTGGAAAGATGTCCCAGGGCGCTGGACAATTAGGGTTCTGGATCTAAGCTGGGAGTTGGCTCAGGAGGGGTAGAGGGCAGGTGGGGTAGGGGTGGGAGGGTGGCCAAAGGCAAGGTCGAGGAGGAAGTCTTCAGACTGTACTTGAAGGAGGCAAGAGAGGGCGTGAGGCAGAGGGATTGCGGGAAAGAGTTCCAGAGTGTGGGGGCAGAGATGCTGAATGCACGAGTTCATATCAGCCCAAGCTCATATCAGCAACGCACGATCTGACAGAGACAGTGAGTGGCAGGTTCAGGGCCCCTCTCTGCAGGATTCGACTAAAATTAGAAAGGTATTCTCTCTCACAACATCTCAGTGAACTGGAGACAGAGAGAGACGGAGAGAGACAGACAGAGAGAGAGAAATTGCCAGAGGCCTGATATCAGTCATCTGTGTTCTAAGTCTCTCGTGTTTCTTAAATGAAATCCCTTAACAGAAACTTACTGTGGGTGTAACTCTGGCAGTCTCTCTTCTGCATTTGGCTGGTGTGTGCTTTGTGTTACTGTGGCCTCACAGCCTCACAATGAAAAAGTGGTCCTTTCTGTTAGACTTTGTTTTTTATTTCACCCAATTTCTCCTCTGCAATGTTACACAGTGGGGGCAGGAGGAGGGGGTTGTTTCAAGGAGGTTAAGGCATTTGGAATGTCTCTCAAACCTCACGAGCAAATTATAATTATTTCCTGCAATTCCACCTGGTCTTAACCTGCGAGACTATTTTGTCTTATTAATAATAATAATAATAATCCTTACATTTGATATGGTGCCTTTCACATTGGAAGGACATCTCAAAGAGCTTCACAGACTGTGCTGTGATGTGTGTCAGCCCGTTCTGTAAGAGGTCACACTCTCGCCTTTGAATCAATGCTCCACGTCAAGACCTTCGAACTCTCAAATTCCAGGCTGACACTCCAGTGCAGTGCTTTGGGGGAGCACTGCATTGTCAGAGGTGCCGTCCTTTGGATAAAGTATTAAACTGAGCCCTTGCTTGTTCAGTTGCCGCATTCACCTACAATAATAATAATAATCATAATCCTTGTATTTGATATAGTGCTTTATGATATCGTTGAAACGTCTCAAAGCGCTTCACAGAATATAATCTAAAGTGAATTGACTGTGTATTGTGTGGGCGAAATGTGTGACAGCCAATTGCGCACAGCCGTTTGAATAAATACACTGAAAATACAAAATACACAGTCACCACACATTTCAGTATATCCTGTGAAGCGCTTTGAGACATCCTCCTGACGTTGGTTCAGATGTAAAGGGTTATGATTATTCTCATTATTATTAATTGTTCTGTGTTTTGTTCAGTCAGTGTTGTAAGGTAACTTCAAGGCTTTGGAGAGGTTAAGTACAAGAAAAGCATGTGATGGGTAGGAAGGGATTAGGAGGTTGCTGCCTCTGATACGACACAAGGCTATTTTCTCTGATATATTAAATCGAGCAGCTTTTCTCTGTGCAATAAATCTCGATCTTTATCACCTGCAGTGTGGAGCACAGGGGCTTTCCTACCTACCTCGAGCTCCAGAACATCATAAGTCAACTAAAGTGCCTCTCTTTTATTTGGTGTGAACATGCCGACATGAACTGGTCCCCAGTAACATACGAAAACGAGTGGGAATAACATGCTGGAAAGTAGGGAGTTATTGCAGTTTGTCAAACAGGAGACAGACTGCTTCACAGAGCGAGGATCAAAATACCTAGAAGAATTTTTTTTTGCTTTAACTCAGCTGTAGAAAGAAGGAAACACCTCCAAATGCTTTCACTGTAATTGTTGCAAAGCGTAGTGACTGTTTTTGTTGCACGGAGGCAAGCGTAGCAGCCGTTTTTGAACACTTGACAGCAAGTTCCTGCAAATAGCCTCACAGGTGAATGACTGCTTTAATCTGAGACAACAACAACAAATTGCATTTGTATAGGGGTGGAGATCAAGGGAGGTGGAGGAGAGAAGACGACACTATGAAGAGACTAGGATAATGGGCAGCTCGAGAAATAAACCATTCGTTGAATGCTTGGCGTGCAATAATGATGATGATAAGCCTTGCTGTGTACTGTGCACTGTGTAACATCTTTTGTGCCAGTAGGAACTCTCAAAGCGCTTCACAGGGTTTTACTGAGAAATGTAGTGACTGTGTGCTTTGCAGACGAACATACTGGAAAAGTCCTCCGTTCAGTCTCGGTCTGGAAGCCGGTGGCTTATTTTTAAGGACTTGGGGAAAGAAAAGCTACTTGAAAATGAATAATATGATAATAATAATAATCCTTACACTTGATATAGTGGCTTCACACATAGGTTTCAAAGCGCTTTTTATAGGTTTCAAAGCGGATTGGCGGCAACCAATAGCGCGCAGCTTTGGCCCACAAACAGTCGTGGATCGAGCGATGCAATTATTATTATTTTTTTTTGAGGGGTAGGGATTATTACCCCTGGGAAAGCGATCCGCCAACGACTAACTACCGGGTTACTACTTACTGCTGGGTAAACAGAGGCGTGTGGAGTCAGGATACCTGCCCAACATTTCTCCCCACCCGGAATCGATCCTGGGTCCTCTCGCTTGCGAGGCGAGCGCACTAACCACTGCGCTACAGCCCTCTACACTACCCCTCAAATAGTTCCTCTGATGGCCTTTATCTCTTTCTCTCTGTGTGTTGTTGCAGTCGCCTCCCTACAGCTCAGGAAGCTATGACTCGGGCCGGAACGAGGGGCTGGGGGGCTGCCCTGAGGATCTGTCCATCAGCCGCGGGGGAGACGATGACGATGACGAGCACGACCACGACGAAGATAACGAGAAGATCAATGACTCGGAGGGAATGGACCCCGAGCGGCTGAAGGCCTTCAATGTGAGCGAGCCGTGGGTTTTTATTAATAGTACTATTATTAATCATTTATAACAATAATAACCCTTGCACTCGATATAGCGCCTTATCACACCGTCATGACATCTCTACAACAACAACAACATGCACTTATACAGCACTCTTCATACACGGTAGCGTCCTGGAGCACTTCACAGGATATAATGTAAAGTGTAGTGACTGTGTATTTTGTGGGCGACATCTAATTGAAGGACTTCAAAGTCAAGACTGAATTCAACAGTTTGCCTTTGCACCCCCACACCCCCAATTTTTTTTTAAGACTCTAGACCCAGTCTAGTTTCCCCAAACCTTGCTTTATCTTGTCCAGCGTTAGATATTTTCTCCCTTGCCCAGGGAGATAAGGCCTAGTAGCTTATTTGCAGAGAAGGGGGTGAAGGTGAGGGAGGGAGAGATGGAGGCTATTTTTATTCACGAGGCTGGTGAGAGACATTTGTATGCGATGACGCTAACTGGGCTTTAGTGAGCGTGTTGCTAGACTGTCTTGCTAAGATTCCAGAGGTGCCGTTCATCGCCCCCGCAGGTCCGGCTTAAAGACGGTTTTAAAAACAATGAATAAAGATGTGGGGAAAACAAACGGACGGCCTGAATGCACTACATTTGCAGTCGTGATCGAACCTTGGAATATTAAAAGCTTTTTTTAAAAAAAAGATATCTCTTTCCCAGCTTGGCCCAGCGACTAGATTTCTAACTCTGCTCATTCTGCACCGCCCCCCACCCCCCACCACCACCCAACCCGCCATCTCACCTTTCCCTTGTCTTGCACAATAGAGTGAGGGCGTCTTTAATGTCTACTTGAACAGACAGACAGGGACCTTGGTTTAACATCACATCTGAAAGACGTCACCTCCAACAATGCAATACTTTTCACCTCACTCCAGCACTAGGTTGGAGTTTCAGCCTGGACTGCGTGAGCTCAAAGACCCCTTGACGTGGGATTTGAACACACAACCTTCTGACTTAGAAGCGTGAGCGCTACCCACTTGACCTCCATCTTCTTTCATCTGTTTGGGTTTGATTTTTGCCCCCAGATGTTCGTGAGGCTGTTTGTGGACGAGAACCTGGATCGAATGGTTCCCATTTCAAAACAGCCCAAGGAAAAGATTCAGGCCATCATCGAGTCGTGCAGTCGGCAGTTCCCGGAGTTCCAGGAACGGGCACGGAAACGCATTCGCACTTACCTCAAGTCCTGCAGGCGATTGAAGAAGAACGGCATTGAACTGGTAAGACACGCCTCGAGGGGAGTGGGGGGGTTGGGGGGAGGTTGCGACGAAGGCTTGGGAGGGAGGTGACCAAAGGCACAGTGAGAGAGCTTGGCTTTTTAATGCCATAAATCAAGAAAAAAGTGAAAACACACTATCGATTAAACACAGAGGCTGGTGTGAATCTTACCTAGGCTCGTGTGAATGTTCAGGGTGCTGGGGTGCTTCTTGATGGCCCCCTCAGACCATTTCTGGCCCACGGGCCACAGGTTGACCACCACTGCCCTAGAAGGGCATGCTGCCACCTAGTGGTTTACTTCAGTGGTAGGTCAGTTATACCTTAAATTTTACCCCATAGAAAGTTTCAACACAGAAGGAGGCCATTCGGCCCATTGTGTCTGTGCTATTCTTAGTTATTTTCTTAAATCACTTTATTTTATTAATTAATCCAGCTCTGGTTTCAGTCAGTAAGATGTCTGACACACTTGCAAACCAATCTCCAAGCTTGAAGCATATCCAAACCAGACCGAGAATTTTTACATATGTAATAATAATAATAATAATATGCCAGCTACACCACCTAATAATTTGGTCACTCAATCCACGACTGTTTGTGGGACACTGCTGTGCACAATTGGCTGCCGCGTTTCACCCAGAAATTCACTTTATGGTATATTCTGTGAAGCGCTTTGAGATGTCTAGAAGACATAATGACGGATAAGGCACTATATCAAATGCAAGGATTATTTTTTTTTACACGTGGAAATTTCCCAGTGTCTGGAATGGAATGCGCATTTTCTCTCTCTCTCCCTCTGGAAGAACATGCTTTGCTTACCTAATTCAACAACAACAACCTGCATTTATATGGTGCCCTTTACGCCAGATGGATTCTCGGAGCACTTAAATTCCAGAGAATATTAAGCACAAGTTGACGAGAGCCAAGGTTTGGGAGATCCCAGAGTATGTGTTTGCAGGGTGGTGGTGGGGGGGGGGGGGGGGGAGAGGTGGGGAGGGAGCGTGTGGGGAAACTGCTGGAGTTTAACCAGCTAAAGCCACGTAGCTGGCCAATGTCCACTTCTGTAAAGCTCTTTGAAATCTTCTCCTACGTGAAAGACGCTTTGTGTAAGAGCAATTGCTATTGTTTGTAAGGGTTGGAGAGGGGGCTTTGCTGGTCAAGGTTAGTTGCAATGTTTTAACAACAACTTGCATTTATATAGTGCCCCTCATGTAGGGTAGCTTCTTAGAGCACTTGTCATCTCATCGCACTGCAAAGTAACTCAATGTTACTTTGTTCGTGTTCATACAATGTTTTAGACGGGTTAAGACGGTGTAGAAATTTATTGGTTGTAAAGTTAATTGTCCAGAGATAACCAGCAAGTGTCCAAGGCAATCAATGTGCTGCCACCGCTCTCTCTCTCCTCCCCTCGCCACCCATCACTGGGAAATCTCCCTGGAAAATCACCACGTGGACGTCTCGGAAAACCCAGAGATCTTAAAGCCAAAAGGGTTACGTTTACTCCCAGGCAACTCATGCCCTTGGCCTGGGAATCTGGGAACCTTGCACATGCCTGTTACACTCTATCGCTGTTAGATCGATGATAAAAATCACTTTAAAGGTTGGCTTTATTGGCTATTAATGTAATTGGCCAGACATCTAACTACCTGTAATCTTCTCATTTCCCATTCGGCCGTTCAGATCCACTTCAGCATTGAAATTAAAATCTGAATAAAGCTTTGAGACGATGCCTTAGGTGAAGCAATTAACCCCTTTTGCTCAAAGCTTAAAGCTAATCGTTCTTTTTATTCCAGGGGGGGTAGAGAATGAGAGGGGTGAGGGGGGTTTGGGGCTGTTTTGGGGAGGGGGGGAGGCATTATTATTCTGACCCCCTTTTTTCCCGATGATCTTTTCTCTCAGTTGAGGACAAGCAAAGAGAACAGGTCATTAAACAGCCAGGAACCTGAGGGATTTAGCTCGAGACTCCCTGACGCCAGAATCACCGTGATCACACTTCTTGCAAACGCTAGAAAACGTGACAAGTATCTGCGTTTGTTATTGAGAGGCATCGGCGAAACAACTATAGCGCCATTCACATGGGGCAGCTCGGAGCGAATAATAATCCCTCCAAAAAACAAAACAATAATAAATTGGTCATTTTCAATCCATGACTGTTTGTGGGACATTGCTGTGCGCAATTGGCTGCCGCGTTCGCCCACAAATATACAGTCAATTCACTTTACAGTGTGTTCTGTGAAGCGCTTTGGGACGTCTTGACGACGTGAAAAGCTCTTTATCAAATGCAAGGATTATTATTATTATTATTATTAACAGACGCCGAGCCAGCAGGCTGGGAGGGGTGGAGAGAGGAGGCGACCCTCCCTCCTAGGAAGCCAGGTCATCAGTCAAGGGTCAAATGCATCCTCTAATTTCTGTTTTATCCTCCCTCCCTCCTTTCATCCCTCCCTCCATCTGTCTGTAGGCGTCTCGTCTCCACGCCTCTTCCTTGCGACAGGAGGACGGGGAAGAGGGAGCTTCCAACTTCTTCACCACCAGTGCAGCCCCATCGTCGGCCACCAGGAGGCGGGCTTGCTGGAGGGTCAGGCGGACATCGGGCTTTCCAGCCAACGAGGTGAGACACTACCTTTGTGTGTGTGGGGGTGGGGGGGTGGGGGGGAGGGGCATCCTGTTCTAGCACAAAACATTTGAGATCTGGTGCTGACCAGACTGACCAGCTTCCTGTAATACACAGGAAGTGACATCAGCTAGGACATGATGACCCCGTAAGTGCCGTCCACTGGCCATTTTGTTAGCTCCCTCCTCCCCCACCACCCAACGCAAAGCCTTTGAGTTTATGGACCAAAATCATGGCATTATATCAGGGTCGCCTTGAACTAAGGTTAACGGTATGACATGGAGCACCCAGTTAATGGCGAAACAGGACACCGGGACAACTAACAAGAAGTTAAATAAGGAACACTCAGCAGCTCAGGCAGCGTCTATGGAGAAGGGAAAGTGAGTCAACGTTTCGGGGTCCACGACCCTTCGTCAGAACTGGGGCATGTTGGGAGGGAGAGGTTTTTAAGGGCTAACAGCGAGGGGGGAGGCCGGGCAAGGAAGACAAAGGAGAAAGTGGGGTAGAGAACAGGGGATGATGGGTTAGAGAGGTGTTAAATGATGCAAAACAAGGGGTGGGCGGGGGGGAATTGCAACAAAACAGGCAGACCAGAGAGAGAAAAGGTGTGTGTGAGACCCAGATGATGTGGGAAATGGTCACAGAAGAGAGGGAGGGGGAATGTGAGCGGTTATGGTCTGAAATTGTTGAAATCGATATTGAGGCCCGGCGGTAAAGTCGCCAGCAGATAAATGAGGTGCTGGTCCTCGAGCTTGCACTGTGGTTCATTGGAACAGCGTAGGAGACCGTCACCTTCTCACAAAGACTAATGATACAAACAGCCATGAAGTGACACGACCAGATTTGTCTGGGGCGATTGTCGGCCAGGACGCCTGGAGAGAGAAACTCCCTTCTCTTTTTGAACAGCGCAATGGGATCTTTAACATCCACCTGAACAGGGCACAGATGGGACTTCATTTTAACATCTCATCCGAAGTACAGCACCTCTGACAATGCCCCCACCCCCCCACCACCCCCCACAATACTGCATTGCAGCATCCGCTTAGACTATGTGATTCCAAGTCCTGACGTGGGGCTTGAACCCACAACCTTTTGACTCAGAAGCGAGAGCGCTACCAGCTAATTCCGAATTCCAGATACGTCGGTTGCAGATAGCCTTGAGTTACTGTATACGGTTCCCGAGGCAATGTCTCGTGGCACACACAGACGCTCTCGTTCACCTCCAAGCATACCGACGCGACACTCCTCAGACTCTGCTCTCTTCCACCGCAGACCCGGCCCACTCCCTCTCACCTCACCTCGGCCATGGCGGAAAATATCCTGGCCGCCGCGTGTGAGAGCGAAAGCAGGAAAGCCGCCAAGAGGATGCGTCTGGAATCGTACCAGCAGCAGGTAGTGTGATCGCCCGACAGTAATAATAATCCTTAAATTTGATATAGCGCCCTATCGCGTCTTCGAGGCATCTCAAAGAGCTTCACAGAATATACTGTAAAGTGAATTTACAGTATGTTGAATTTTGTGGGCGAAACACAGCAGCCAATTGCGCACAGCAGCGTCCCACAAGCAGTCGTGGATTGAGTGATCAAATTATTATTTTTTTTATATAAGGAATTATTACCCCCAGAAAAGTGATCCGCCAATCGACTAACAACCGGGTTCCAACTTACTGCCAGGTAAACAGAGGCGTGTGGAGTAAGGAAACTTGCACAAGGTTTTGCCCTGCCGGGAATTGAACCCAGGTCTCTCGCTTGCGAGGCGAGTGCTCTAACCACTGAGCTACAAGAGTCCACAGATCCTTGCGTTCGATATAGCAGACGTCTCCAAGTGCTTTGCAGGCTGTCAAGTGTAGTGACTGTGTATTTCTTAGGCAAGCGTTATTATACGCACAGCAAAGCCCCACAAATAACAAATTTGCACAGCACCTTTCATGTCGGGAGGATGGCCCAAGGCGCTGGAGAGTCAAGGATTTGCAGCTGATCTGGGGGTTGGGATCAGGAAGGGGTGGAGGGCAGGGACAGTAGGGGACGGAGGGTGACGAATACACAGTCAAAGAGAAGGGTGTCAAGACAAGCCTTGAGGGAGGCAGTCTTGAAGTGAATGATCGTTTGGTTCTATTGGGGGAGCTTGTCAGCCGGGACACAGAGAGAGAACCCCCCAGTAGCGCTATGAGGGCGGGGGAATGTTTAACGTCTGTCTGAAGAGTGCAACAGATAGGGATCTCAGTTTAACATCTCATCCAAAGGACAGCGTCACAAACTCGCAGCAGATTTTCTCCTCAAGGGGGAGTGTACGCCAAGAGGCGTTTTTGCAGTAAACTTGACAACGATAACAATCACCGCTTTACCAGCCGCGGTGTTTGGAGTAAATAATAATAATAATCCTTGCATTTGATACAGCGCCTTATCACGTCTCCGAGACGTCTCAAAGCGCTTCACAAGATTCGCTGTAAAGGGTAGTGACTGTGTATTTTGTGGACGAAACCCGGCAGCCAATTGCGCACAGCAGCGTCCCCACAAACGTGGATTGAGTGACTAAATTATTATTATTATTATTTTATAAATCAGGGGTGAACGGATCCAGAGATTAAATGGAGTCTAGGAGGTGGTGGAGGGAAAGGAGAAATTGACAGTACTAAATCTCTGGCTGCCATTTACATCCTCTCCCTGTTATAACCCATCTTCCTTCCTCTCGCCGAGACGGAGCAGGGATTTTAATGTATTTTTGTCTTTTTGAAAAGAAAACCTATTGATTTATTATTATATTGCAGCGCAGCGGAAGATTTAGTGAATATTGTCGGGGTTAATGAAAGCGAGTTGTGTTTTTTTTATTTCTCTCTTGTTTGTAGCAGCTGCGCTGTGAATCCTAACCAAGGTCGCACGAGCGAGTGAAGGGCACGGAATTAGTGAGGACAGAAACAGGCTATCCATCCCCTTCCCCCACTCTTCCACCTCTCTCCCCCCCCACCCCCAATCTCTAACCCAGTCTGTGTCTGTGCAGCCACCTAACAGGACCTGCTGGAGGTTAAACTCTGTAATGATGGGATAATAGGACTCTCCTGATCTTAACCCTTATAATACAATAATATTAATAACCCTTAATATTAATAACCCTGATATAGCGCCTTATCATATTGTTGAGATGTCTCCAAAGCGCTTCACAGAATGTACTGTAAAATAGATCGACGGAGATATATGGAGTAAGGAAACTTGCCTTGGGTTTTGCCCCACCCGGGAATCGAACCCGGGTTCTCTCGCTTATTATCGCGGATTATTTATTATAGTTCTATTTAACATACATGCACTTATGCATTATACAGGGTGAATCAGCTATTATCTCCTGTAATAGCTGCACATTCTTTATGGATGTTGTCTTAAAAAAAACATAATTAATAATTAAAAACTCTCCGAGTGAGGACTTCTGATGTACCCTGTACAATGTCTTGCTTTGAACGTGATCATACACTTTTCTCACAGAGAGAGTGAGAGGATTCCGACTTTTAAGCTGTTACTGTGAAGAATGCTGGGTCAGCAAGGGCCTCTTACGCGTGCAATTCCAAGCATTTTCACACCTTGTCCCGTCTTCGAGACATCTCAAAGCGCTTCCCAGGATACACTGTAAAGTGGTGTGCGTGCGGCTGTGTGTATTTTCTCTGCATTCCACTTGGCAAATACTGCTCCATTTAAAAAAAAACAAGCACATAAAAAAAACTTTTTCACGTGAATGAACGCCACGAATTTTCAAAGGCATTAGGCACAGGAACGGTGGGCAGAATGGCCTCCTTTTGTGCTCAGCGAGCTCCGGCCTGCTCCACGTCCCCTCCATAACCTGCCCCACATCTCCCGCCTGACCAGCCCCACCATCGGCAGTCGGGCTTTCAGCCTCTCTGCCCCCACCCTTTTGGAACTCCATCCAACAGTCCCTTCACCTCGCCTTTGCCTTCCCTTCCGCCCCTCCTTCAAGGCACGTCTTAAGACCCTCCTCTTCGACCGCACCTTCGGTTGCCCTCCTACCTCTACCCTCCCTGTCCGTCATCCTTCCTGATCCCAATCCCCCTGTTCCGATCCAAATCCCTGACTGTCCAATGCCTTGAGACGTCCTCCCAACATGAAAGGCATTTGTTGTTGTTGCTATTGTTGTATGATTCTATGATTCCCTACTATTCTACGAATTCTTAACAGTGCAAAGCTTTTTAAACTCCGCTGCACTTGAAGCTATATCAAGCACTCCACCTCTTTTTTTATTTGATGCATAATTTAGAGAAGCCTTATATCTAATTTTTATGAGCTAAGCTCCAGTCAGAGAAGAATTCATTGGTGCTCGGAGAGTTGAGAGTACAGTACATGAATCTGTATTCCCAGGAGGGCCTTTTACCTTGTCCTCAGTGTCTGAAGCCCTGTCTAAGTCGCCAGTGAAATGAGTTTGCCAGCCCCCTGTATTGATAAGTTATTATCGTGACGGCAGATCTTTAATTTGATTTTCTGAATGAATGGCTCATGGGGACATGATGCCTCTGATAGCATGAGTACTGTGGAGGGTATACCTCTCACACAATACCCAGGACGGCAATCTGCAAAAACACACAGTCACTACACGTCACGGTAAAACAATTCCGTGATGCGCAATCAAGACGTCTCAACACCGTGATACTGTGCTATCAAATGGAAGGATTACTATTATTATTATTATCATCATTATAAATCTGGAACTGAAATACAGACCTTATCTTTTGAATTGTAAAATTTTATAATAATAATAATCCTTGCATTTGGTATTGCACCTTTCATGATAGGAGTACGTCTCAAAGCTCTTAGAATCTTAGAATCATAGAATCTTACTGCACAGAAGGAGGCCATTTGGCCCATCGTACCTGTGTCGGCTCTTTGAAAGAGTTATCCGATTAGTCCCACTCCCCCGCTCTTTCCCCAGAGCCTTGCAATTTGTTTTCTTTTCAAGTACGTATCCAATTCCCTTTTGAAAGCTATTATTGAATCTGAACCCACCAGCCTTTCAGGCAGTAACTTTGCAAGATACGCTGTAAAGTGGTGGGACTGTGTGTTTTGTGGGCGAAACGCAGTAGACAATCTGCTCACAGCAACGTCCCCGCAAATAGCCATGGAGCGAGCGACTGACTGACTGACTGACTGACTGACTGACTGTCAGTGTTGATTGTCTCTTTTCTGCTGCTCTCTTCACAGGACGAACCTATTGCACTAGACAAACACAGCCTACAGGCCCGGGAGTCGACCCAGTTTGCACACACTACTACCTACTCGCTCCCAGCTGCTTCCTTCTCTCAAGATCAGATGTACATCAACGGAGGACTGAACTACAGTTACCGTGGTTACGGAGGAATAGGTGGCGGACTGCAACATCCCTCCCCCTTGCAGACTGGAAACCTCAGCAATGGTACGAAAGGGAAAACCTCCGGCACAGCGAGACATCGGAGTGCGTTTTCCTTTCCGTTCACGATCCATCCTACGGTCTCCTCGTTTACTGTTTACTCCCCCTCTCCCTCCCCCTTCCCCCATCAAGAAAATTCCCCTCTGAATCAATAGCAAAAGCACTGGCGGCTGAGGCAGGCTGACACTCTGTATGGAATTGCTTCCCAGTGAACCTATTGCACTCAGTGAACCCCCACTCCCACCGCCCCCACTCCAAACACTGGGAGAGCAGCTCCCTTAACACTCAGAATCTAAACATCTCTCACCTGCTTGCCTGTCAGTCGTGAAGAATTATTTGAGGTGGGGGTGGGTGAGGTTGGGGTCAGGGAAAAAGCAGGAGACAGCCTGGATTTGCAGGGATTAACTGCTTTTATCCTACCTTAATCCCGAGCGAAGGAAGCTCTGAGTGATGTGTGGGGTGAGCACGGCATTGCTCAGGTGACTGATAATCCACACCCTTTTAGTGTAAGTGGAACCGTTACAGGGTTCACACCCCTGATAGTAGGGGAATTAACACTCAGTCATCGTCCATCTCGTTTCATCAGAAACTTGCAGTAAGGGAGTGGGGGTTGGTGGTGGGCAGTGGGGCAATATAAACAGTTACGACACTTTGCCATATAATCCTGTGAAATGCTTTGACACGTCCTCCTGACGTGAAATGCAAGGACTATTATTACTGTTCTTTATAGTCTGAGCGTTTCGCCCACCAAACCACAGTCAATCCATTTGACAGTATGTCCAGTGACACTTCTTGACGACGTGATAAGGCGCTATATCAAATGCAAGGATTATTATTATCAGTTAATATTATGATTCAAAAGATAATTCTGTATTTCTGGGAAGGGGGACAAAGGGAGAGAGAATGGGGTAGCATCTCGGAGCGCTTAACAATGGCAGAGCCTGATGCCGAGCCTGTGGAAGTGAGGAGGTGACCGTAAGCACGGTCGAAGAGCAAGGTCTTCAGTCGTGATCTAAAAGAGGGGGAGAAGGAGGCAAGGCACTACATGTGTAATCACAGGTCAACGAGATTAGATCAGGAACTCTCATAAAGAAAGGTAACAATCGTTCCCCCAACCTTCTGATGGCTGTGCTGAGCTGAGGACACCCAACGCAGCCAAAACCTCCACTGAAATAAATGAGAGATGAGAGCATTTGGCAACCCACTAAACTAACAACACGTTGCATTCATATAGCGCTCCTCTCAGGCAGCGTAGCGTCTCAGAGTGCGTGAGTGGGAGGGCTAGTTTACTCCCTTTCTCTCCACCGCCCACATACATCGCCTCCTCCTTCCAAAATATAATTACCTTCTGAATTAACAAGAAGAAGCATCTCCATTGGTACATTGAGATCCGCTATCTCTCAAATTAAGCCAACGCTATCAGCGCAACTAAACACTTCCGTTCCCCAGTCCGTTTCCATCACTGCGTCCGTATGTCTGCTGGCCCGGCCCCCGTCAGTTTAAAGGGATTTGCATGGGATTCCAATTAGATCTGCTGCTCTGGCAGAATATGTAGATCAGCAGCAAAGAGTTAGTCTGGAGAGGCTAACGCTTTAATACAAATAAGTAATTTATGCATAATAAATGCATTCAGTTGAATGGGGGCTATGTTAAACAGAACGTGACAGAAGAAATATTCAGGTTTTAGAATCTTAAAACAATGAGGCTGCCCTGGGATTAAACATTGCCCAGTAATTGGGAATCATTTACTGGGCAATGTAAATGTAAATTTGTATCATATGATTTGCAGTTGGATGTGAAAGCAATCATTTGCTCGCGTCGCGAATGTTTTAGTGCCCGGGTATAATAGAATGAAGGTCAGTTTGCAACTGGGCAGCCAATAGATGCTCTAAAGGTGATTATAATAATAAGTAATAATAATCCTTGCATTTGATAATAGCGCAATAAGATGTCGTTGAGATAAGGCGCTAGATGCTTCACAGAATATAATGTAAAGCGACAGTATATTTTGTGGGCAAAACATGGAAGCCAATTGCACAAATCAATGTCCCGCAAACAGTTGGGGATTGAGGGACCAAATTTTTTTTAAGGGATTATTACCCCCGGAAAGCAATCCTCTAATCGAGTAACAACCTGGTCCATACTTCCTGCTAGGTAAATGGAGGCATGTGGAGTCAGGAAATTTGCCTAAGGTTTTGCCCCGCCTGGGAATTGAACCCGGGTCGTTTTGCTTGCGAGGCAAGCGCTCTAACCAATACACTACATGACTCCACTTTATTCATTTATGTGCGTTACGTGCTTTGAGACGCTACCTCCGTGAAGGGTGCTATATAAATACTGTGTAAGTATCGTGCGACTATCTGGTGTGTTTGAGACCAAATGATAAGTGGAGTCCTGTAGCTTAATGGTTAGAGCACTTGCTTCGCAAGCTAAAGGATCTGGGTTTGATTCCTGCACAGGGCGAAACGTTGGGCATGTTTCCTTACTCCACACACTCCTCTGTTTACCTAGCAGTAAGTAGGAACTCCGTTAATAGTTGATTAGCGGATCGCTTTTCTGGGGGTAATAATCCCCTTTAAAAAATTAATAAGAAATTGGTCACTCAATCCACGACTTTGTGGGCCACCGCTGTGCACAATTGACTGCCGCATTTCACCCACAAAAACGTTGTAATGCGCTTTGAGACATCGCAAAGACATGATGAGGCGCTATATCCAATGCCAGGATTATAAGGTAAACCTGCTCCTTTCACGTTCCTTTCAGGTCCGACTGATCTGAGCATGAAGGCGCTGGCTTCCAACTCCGCTTCATCCAACACGAATAACAGCCGGAGTGTGGCCACGACACAGCTCAGCCCCACAGAGATCACCGCGGTTCGGCAGCTCATCGCTGGCTACAGAGAGTCGGCAGCCTTCCTCCTCCGCTCAGCAGACGAACTGGAAAACCTCATTTTACAACAGAATTGACTCTCGGCAGCAAAGCCCCCACTTCTATCTACTGATAACCCCCAACCCCACCACCACCACCACCACAACCCCTGCTCCCCATCCTCCGTCACCCAAACCCGTGTGTTGTAGTTAAACCAGCTCAAAACTGGAAACTAGGTGAGGGAGGGTGGGAGGAGAGTCCTCTTGTTACAATGATGGCCATTAACCCATTGCTGCTATTGGAAGTGATAATGCCACCAACCTTTAACCTCAGACTTCATCAGGACCAAGTGTGTGAGTGTGTAAGTCTTCAACCCAAGGACCTCATTCACCAGAGTATCTCCTTTATCTCTCCCTGCCCTTTTACCGCTAGACACAAACCATTTGTGTGTGGACTCACCAGCAACCCTGTTGGGGTGCTGCATTTCCTGGCTCGTTGCATTAACCAGTCTCACTGTAACTTTCAATTCCGGGTGCAATACGGAGTAACGCTGCTAATAAGAGTGAACCTAGCCTGGCCCTTGAGAGCGGGGGAGGGGAGGGGAGGCGAGGGGAAAAGAGGGTAAAGTTAATATCTATTGGTTTTGTGTTCATTCTGATCATTAGGTTGACATATTACGAGGACGGTAGTAGCATCAATGATACATGCATTATTCAATGATTCTGCAAGTGGGAGGAAAAAAAAACTCTGGACGGCTGAATTTCCTTTGTTGCTTTCAGGAATCCACAGTCTTTCAGTTAAATGATAGCCTCGAGAGGGTTGTGATGTTAATGCTGACAGTGTCGCAAGGAAACACTCAGACTCTCGTTCCATTGCTGCCGATTAGCGGAGGGTTTCTGACCACCTTCCTATGTAGGATCACACCATCATTTTGGATTGGGGGGGCGGGGGTAGAGAAAGGGAGGAAAGAACCAAGATTTCTCAGGGTTTTAGCCCTAAGCCCGTTATTTGTGTCATACTGGCTCAGCTAGTAGCACTCTCGCCTCTGAGCCAGAAGGCTGTGAGAGTGTATAAATTCTATCAGACTAATGTGAGGTCAGACTGGTTTGGTGGGGGTGGGGGTTGGGAGAGAGGAGGAGAACTGAATGGCTGGTTTATGAATAGCAGGTAATGTCTCGAGATTTTCAATGGGTCAGAGTGTGCCAGACACGGTGCTAGTAAATCTCGTCACCGTGGGCTGTGAATATTGCGTGGAATATATCTTCTCAGCAGGGGTTGGGCAGTGTTTAAGGTAATTCCAGAAGCAGCCAGTAACCCACCCCACACCCCCAGGACACTTTTTAACCATACAGCAAAGCAGACAGCCTCGTCAATCTTATTCTGTCACACAGAGAGGATTTGATGACTCTTCCCCCACCCACCCCCGAAGATAGTGTCGCCCACAAAACATACAGTCAATTCACTTTACAGTATATTCTGTAAAGCGCTTTGAAACGTCTGGAAGACATGATAAGATGCTATATCAAATGCAAGGATTATTATTATTATTGCAACCTTATTCTTTCCAACGTACTAAGGTTGTATATTCCCTTCAAAAAAATGTTTAAAAAAATTATAATTTGGTCAGTCAATCCACGAGTGTTTGAGGGACACTGCTGTGCCCAATCAGTTGCTGCATTTGTCCACAAAATACGTAGACAATATATAATGTATTAAGCATTCATTCATTCATTCAGCAACTGAAAATGGACCCTTAAATCATTCAAGTCTCAGTAGCGATTTGTAGCACCATTAAAAAGTAGTATTTTGTAGCATTTATTCATCACAGTTTTTAAAGAAGACTTATTTTGCTTTGTAATTTAATTTTTTTTCCTACTACTGCTTTTTTAAAAAAAACCTTTCTACAGACGCTACAGGAAAGTTACAAAGGAAATCTGGTTCTCAAAAGGTTAAAGAATTTACCAGCGTCAAGCTGTATAAATATTTGAACGAGGTGCCTCCAGCAAGGCATTAACCTATATTTAGGTTGAGTTTAGTTACAGTGATATTGTTTGGCAGCTTTCCTAGCTAATGAACATGATTGCGATGGTAATGTTTCGCCCGCAAAATACAGTCAGTTTATTTTACAGTATATTCTGTCAAGCACTTTGAGATGTCTCGAAGACGTGATAAGGCGCTGTATCAAATGCAAGGATTATTATTATTATCAGCCGTATTTTTAAAATATACACTGGATTTGCTGAAATGTCTATCTGGACAGTAGTGGCTCATGGGGTTAACCATCCCTAGGTGAACAACAGCAACAACTACTTGCATTTATATAGCGCCCTCCATGCTGGATGGGGTCTCAGCGCTCATGCAACCCAGAGAGAGCTACATAATGCAGCATAATCGTCAGAGTTAGCTTCCAAAACACCGTTCGTCTTAAATGCACCGTTAGATAGATTCACGGAGAGCTCCAGTAAAGCCTATCTCTGTCCGTGGGTGCCCGTAGGCAGCTTGTCCCTTTCATGAGGCTCCAGATGACAGGAAGTCTTGGGAAAGAGTGAGATGCTCCTCAGCCAAGACTCCATCCCAAAGGTTGTCTCTAGATGTGGGATAATCATCAGGTTCACTTTCACAAGAGAGATTCAAATGAAGGAAGGAGGCCCTTTTGTCTCAATTCATCTCATCCTTCCAAATTACCCAGCCCATCCACCAACCAACAGAAACCAGGTGATCTCACAGAGGTTCTGGACAACATAACCAGGTTACTAACCTTGAACTACTGATCTGGAAAACATTTTCCTGGAGATATTAACCCTCTACCTCAGTTCTACTTTATTAAGATAATGTATCCTTTATGATAATACAGTACCAACCATACAACACGTCTACTTCACCTTGAATAGTCACCGCGACCGATTTAGAAGTCAAGGATCAAGAAGTCCTTTGCTGTCAGTTTCCTTGTGTAGGTGGATGGGTAGGTGGGTAGGGTGAAGGGTATGAGGATAGACGGAGCGGGTTTAGGAAAGAGATAGAGGAATTCTACCCACTTGTTCCTGCACCAATATCAAGATAGGGTGAAGGAACAATACAGTGGGAATTCGGCTCAAGAGGAGTCTTACTGATCCTGAAACCTGTTCTGAAAATAATTTTCACTCCATTTGCAGCCAGATTTCTGGGGCGGAGCAAGGAAGGGGGTGGGGGGTAACAGCAAAAATATCCCAATGATCAGAGTCTCTGGGAAGAGTTCAGGTTCGGGGAACATAGGGACAAAGTGAATTGATGAGGGGAGTGACAGGGACAAAGTGGCCCCACAGCCATGAATGAACGTGACCTAACATGTAAATATAGAGACAGTTACTACACATCACCTCAAATACAGCCTGGCCTCAGCCAGACCACAGTGCCACACTGAAGATCACCAACAAATCTCTCGTCCTGGTGGACAGATACGTCTCCTCACACCTTCTGGGGAGATTTACGTTAGGAACCATGTTACAAAATGGGTTGGGGGGGGGGATGTGGGGTTGGTGGGGTTACAGGTATGTGTGTGAAAAATGCCGCATTTTATAACAGTTTCGATTATCGAATCCGTTTAGAAATGGCGCGTTTTTAACAACAGATCCAATGTGACGATTAGCACATCTGTTAGTTACCAAAGGTCGCATTTTCAGAACAGCTTCAATGTGTTAATCAACGCTCTCAGTCACAGAATCTAGCAAATATTATCCCACCCACCCATTCCCCCAAACATTACTCAATAAAAAGAAGTCAAACAAATTTCTATTAATTCTGCCAAAAAAAAATATGCTACTATCCTCCTAGATATCTGTCTGGACCTAATGTTGTGAATGGATTTGAAATCTCTGCTCTCTTCCTACCCACACTGTCATGGCCAAGTTGAAAGGCGATAAAACTTACTAAATAACCTCGTTTGTATATTTCCAGGACCTCGTTCAAACCGAAGGGCGACGCCTCAGCCACTCTCCCCCTTTTAATGCTTATTTGTCCTTGTGAGTAATTTGTACACAATGAAAATATTCCTTTCCTATGTAGTATTGTGGGGTGGGGGGGTGGTGGGGGGTAGCGGTGGGGTGGGCAGGTGATGTGGGATGGAGAGAGGGGGGAGAAACACAAATATTTTTAATGTATTTAGGTCTGTGTTGGGTTTTTGTCCTTAACAGTTCCGGAAGACAGAAACAATTAGGCAAAAGACAATCTTAGCCCCCCCCCCCACTTACATACACACTCCTCGCCCTAGTCTCCCCCCTCCCCACTCCTCCTCCCATATTTTAAATGCTGTGTTAATATTATTTTCATTGAGTGCAGCTATCGAAGTTTAAAGAGAAAACAAACGGGGGACCATTTGAGTATTTTTTTCAGCCATAACTTAAAAGTCACTGAAAATGTTGTGTTGCACAAATGATTGAGAGTAGCGCTGAGGGCTGTGTGTAAGTATAACGCGGTCGTTGTTCGAAGATCTTCACCCTTTGAGTGCTGTTTTTTTTAAAAAAGAAAAAGGTTTTTATATAAATATATATAAATAGTAGGCTTTTACTTTGGTTGAATCTACTGTGCCGTTGCACCAAAACTTACAGAAAACTATTACCTGCTTTACAGGGGCAGTTTTCTGAGCTAAACCATTGCCCCCACCAGCTCAGAGAGAACATTTGCTCTGGGGCTCAGAGGGTTAATGACTTTCACTTGCCTCTAGGTTTATGGCTAGATTTCTACCGTCTTGTACAATATCGCAGACTGCACACGAAGCGGGCTGTTGTCGATAATATATTAAAAAAAAACACGAATAGCGGTGCTTTCAAGTTAGTTTGACTTGGAGAACAAGAATTCAGTTCCCTACTCTTTGTATCTAATACCAATGTGAACTTTGTATTCTCTTCTGATTTTTTGGACTCAGTGAAAGTGTGGCTGTTTACATGTACAGATTTTTTGCGATTTCCCTTGTGTTCTCCCGCCACCCTGTATTAATGCTGTAGAGAGAGAGAGAAAGAGAGAAAATAACCCAAATTCTTTTAATATTTATTGCGATATACACAGTGAATACGTTTTTTTTCCAATACATGTGGCTAATATTTTAATTCTTAGTGTTGATATATATGTGAAAGCAACTGAGTTCTTTGTGTTTTACTGTTTTGTTCCCCATTTCTTTTGCTAAATGAAAACAGCATGACCAGGTCGACTTA